CACTCTCTAATATGTGCTTGTGTGAAATCGTCCAATGATACTAGCCGGGTACAGGGTTGTGTAGGTTACTTTCTAAATGTAATCCGTTACAGTTACTAGTAGGTTACTTGTCCAAAATTGTAATCAGTAACAACTTTTGGATAACCCAAACTCAGTAATGTAATCTGATTACCTTCCTTTACTTTTTGATTACTTTCCCCTTAACAGGCATTAAAAGAAGACACAAATTATCCCTCAAATGCATTTGGTGTGTCATCATAGTGGTCTCTGACTTGTGGTCAGACTCGCTCAGGTGGAACAAACTTAAACTTGCACCTTTTTTCAATGCTGAATTGAATGTCATTGAGAAAACCGAAAGGTGTCATAACATGTTTTTTTCAGCAAACATCCTTTCTGAATTTAAAAGTAATCATGAAGTAATCATGTAGTTTCTCTAAAGTATCTGTAATCCGATTACAACGTGTTTTCTTCTTCTTCATGTAATCAGTTACTCCCCAACCCTGGCTGGGTAGATACCACTATTTGAGATGCCCTGAACTGCTGAAGGAATCCCAGACAAGCATTAGACCCAACATAAATCTATAGCAGTTTCTCCTAAATCCAGGATATCATGGTGACATTTTAGGTGAGTCTGTTAACTACTATATTTCACCAGAATACTTTTTGACCCATAATTCTGTCCAAATACAGCATCTCCAACCCCCAAGTCTTTCAAACTGACTGTCCATTGTAGGTTATTCTAAGCTCCAGGGCTTTATCCAAGCTCACAGACTACTGAGGCTGAATCAAAGCAGAAGGCACCGGTATGTTTCTTTTCCTGTGTGAGACGGGGGACGGGGACGGGGGGACGGGGGGTAAGTTTGTGCAAGCAGGGAGGGTGGGGCATGGGGGCTTTCTCACACAAGATGGAGGCTGGGGGGACAAAGCTGGTATTCATGGGCAGAGGAATGGAAAACATTTTCTCCTGAAAACAGAGAAGCTACAACCGGCAGAGGTAGTGTAGGGAGACCATGGGTTAGCATGTGGCCCTTTGGAGCAGTCACATGCCTAGCGAGGCAAATCCAAAGGCTCCACCAGTGCCGGTTGAGGCCTCATTTATTTGGTATTGCAGGTAATTTTGCCACCTCTTCGAGTCAATCTGGAAGTGGATACTATAGCAATTTACCCAACAGCTGTACAGACTATACAGTCTAAAACCCATGTAATCTTATACGGGTGGGTGCAGGAACTTTTCAACTACAAGGACGGATGGATGGGGAGTCTGGGCACCATTGGGGGCCTACACTGTCTGCATGACAATCATGTCTCCTGAAAGAATTCCTTGAAGTGCCTTGAAGTGAGCTCCTCTTGGTACACAGGAAATTCTCCAGTGTTAAATCAACACTGAGAGTGGTAAATTTAACACTGGTCCAGTGTCTATAGGGGTCCACACTTTTCATTGTTAAATTAACACACTGCTTAGTGTAAAGCCTTATTTGCATATTTCCCAGAGTGCCTTGCCGAGTTAATTGTAGAGTTACCACCCATGACTGTATTTGTTAGTGACAGAGACATGGTTGTTTTATTCATCCATTATCAGTCCTGTGCCTTTAAGGGAGAACCTAAGCAAATATGTTATCATTGAAATTAAATTATTTAACACAATACAACACATAATTCATAAGGCCTTATTTTGAAAGCTTTACCTTAATACAGTGGCCTGAAACTCATGGTTTACAGGCCACATCAAGTCACATTATGCTGGCTTGCAAAGTGATCTGTAATTCCTATTGGAATCCAGCCAGTGGGGAGATCCAACATTTTGAATGTATATTCACCCGCAACCTGTATTCAGAATGACTAAGATATGAGACTATCTAAACAGGAACAACCATTTCTGTAACAGATGCAATAAATCCAAGTAACAGATTGGGTTAGAAACATTTATGTTATTTATATTTGAGTAGCATAAGATTAATTAATTAATCAATGTACATACAAAAACATAGATATTGAAACAAATCAATCTAAAAATCAAACTGCAATAGAGCATGCTGGAAAATATGATAATGATGGGCATGGTTTTGGTTTAATACTGGTAATTAACACCAACACTGGGGTTATTTTACACCAATGAGTGTTCATGTAACATTTACAGAGTTAATTTAACACCTGAATCAACACTAGACATGTTACACTGAAAAATCAACACTACGTAACACTGGCCAATTTGCTGTGTAGAATCTTGGTAAATGTAATGTAATCCACCAATTTATTCCTCTCCTTAATGAGGTTTTTCATACTACATGAGAGATAGATATCAAATAAGGTACACATTGTAACTGTTTAAAGATTTCAGAAAAAGTTGATGAATGCCTGTAATGGCTTAACCAGTCAAATAATTTATCCTTAGCAAGAGAGGCTAATTTATACCAGTGTGTTGATAATGCGTGTTGTACACAAACACTGAGCACATGAAGGATCAGAGAGGTACAGAGAGGTGAGGAGTGACCTGTGGGCAGGCTGCCTAGACAGGAAGCCAGTCCCCTCACTCAGAGGCTTGTGGGTAGGAACACTGGGCCTGTGCCTGTGCCTGGTGTGGATGTGCGTGTGTGCATGTGTGTGTGAAAGAGAGAGGGTGTGAGTGTTCGTGTGCGTGACGGACCCCCTGAGAGATGCCCTCTCATAGATCCAATAGACACACAGACAGTGACACTCAGCCTGGATCTGAGGTGCTAGATCTGGAAGGAGTCTGCCACCTACAGGCAGAGACGTAAACAGACAGCAGAACAGGTCTTACAGGTCCTATAGGTTTATTATGGAGTAGCATTGAGTTGCCTCAGCCTAGAAATGAAAACCGCCTACTGCCCCGCCATACTGATCTAAAAATGGTTGTGTATTTACTGTTTTTCAAGGTTATGAATTTGAAAGGGTATTGAATAGGGGGACCGGTTGTTCTTTTAAACAACAAACAATAGAGAGCAATAGTAATGACGTATTTTTTAGCCACTAACTCCACCATGGCTCGTTGGCCAAAGCCTATGGGGAAATGAATGGTTTTTTTGGAGGGTTTCTGTATAAACGCCGAGAATAAGGTATGTGGTAAACACAGGCTTAGGAGATCTTATACGTTTTGTTCTATGAGATCATTTTCATCAGCTTTTTGTGAAATGTATGTAATTAAAACGAGGACATAAATCACATAAAGGCTTCACAATTCCTAAAGGTCATGTTAACTGACTGATATTACATCATTGAACAAAACGTATAAGATCTCCTAAGCATGTTTTAACATCAGATTCTTTTCCGGTTTTGAGGACTAGAAGCTGGCAAGCTCTATTTTCAATCCACAAATCTACATCAGAAATTGGCTATAAGCGCTACGCAGATAACCACACTAACTACAAGGTCGATGTAGGCTTAGATTTATTTGAACATAGTGAAATAAAAGGGAATCATTTGATAATTTGGTCCGACTTTATATCAAGTGTACTGAAACCCATACCTAGGCTACATGGTAGATACAGCGGTAGTTGAAGTGTAATTACAGTGTAAGTACACATTGTTACAACTGTAGTCAGAGGGTCATGCCATATGTGCCCCCTCAGATTTCCATCTTAGCCAAGGAACTCTGTAGTTCTGTCAGAGTGGTCATTGGGCTCTTGATCACCTCCCTGACCAAGGTCCTTCTTGCCCAGTTGCTCAGTTTGGTCGGACGCTCAGTTTGGTCGGACGGCCAGCGCTAGTCAGAGTCTGGGTAGGTCCATATTTTTTCTATTTCCCAATGATAGAAACCACTGTGCTCTTGGAAACGTTCAACACTATAGACATTGTTTTATACCCTTCCCCAAATATACATGTATGCCTCATCACAATTCTATCTCGGTGATCTATGGACAGTTCCTTGGACTTCATGGTATAGTTTATGCTCTGTCAACTGTGGGACCTTATATAGACAGATGTGTTTCTTTGTAAATTAAGTCCACCCAATACAATTGGCTATAGGTGGACTCCAATCAAGTTGTAGTGACATCTCTAGGATTATCAACGAAAATTGGATGCACCTGAGCTCAATTTGGAGTGTCATAGCAAAGGGTTGGGAATACTTATGTAAATTAGATGTTTCTGTATTTCATTTTCAATCGCCTACATTTGCAAAAAGGTCTAAAAACATGTTTTCACTTTGTCATTGTGGGGTATTGTGTGTAGACGGGGGAGAAAATTAATTTAATCAATGTTCAATTCAGGCTGTAACACAACAAAATGTGGAATAAGTCAAGGGGTATGAATACTTTCTGATGGTTCGATTCCAGGCTGTATCACAACCGGCCGTGATTGGGAGTCCCATAGGGCGGCGCACAATTGGCCTAGCGTCGTCCGGGTTTGCTATAAATGCTACAAATTACTAGAACATCCCCCAATGCCATCTCTGCTCATTGGTAGGCTTGATTTCACCATAGCCAATGTAACCATGAAATTGTAAGCAGTTGAATTCAAAACATTTTTGGTAATTGTATTATTTATTTATTCACATTTATTCACAGGTTTACAGATGATATTACAACTTCTTGTTCAACAGTTGCAACAAGGTTACATAATATTATATCTTACAGCAATGTATTTAAAGGTTTTGGGCAATGTTTTCCATAGAAACTGCTCGGAAAAGTAACCTATAATTAGATTTGTACTGTGCCCCTAGCCACTGAATCACGTAATTTGAAATCATAACCATACCCGTGCCATGGACCGTACATTTCTCACCCTCTTCCCGGTCTGTATTCATTTGTCATTGGTCACTGGCCTATTTCATCTGTCGACCAACTTCTGCCAGTCACAACTCCACCCCCACGCGACAATATCATGTCCTTTAACTGCGCTCGCTTGCATGAAAACTGACATAAAGCCTCCGACTGGACACAGATCTGATGCCTCTACGGTGTTTATTATATTCTAATTGTATTGTTCTTTGGTTGCGATCCACCCTTTATTAATGCATTGTCTGAAACGTCTGCGGACTACAAATGCGGGAGTTTTACAACTGCTCAAACATGCTGTCAACTACATACGAGTTGGGTGTGACAGCAATGGCTTATCCAGGAGCGAGCAACCATCTCAGCTGTTATGCACAAGCGCATCATCACACAGCCAGAGTCAGCAACCCTTCCATCATCAAGCTGTCAATGATATGGACCAAGCAGAGTGCAGGTAAATACTTACTCTTTCCCTAACGATGTAGTGCCCTACAGAAGAGTTCGGCCCATGGACCAAATTCGGCCCGCAGGTGATTTTATTTGAACCCCCATTTTATCAAATACATTTTCATTGTTGGACATGAAATAATTTAAAATCAACAGGATATCAACTGATTTTAATTGAGGAAATATTTTCCTAAGTGTTCCCACCCATAAATAGAGACATATGTTATCATATCCCAATGTAATCAAGGTTTGAAATGATTATGTTTTTGTCAATTACTATATCTTTGTGCTTCTTGACGTCAATTAGCAGTGTCTTATTATTGTTATTAATAATTGTTCCAGCCCCCCGACCATCCGCTCAAGAAAGAATCAGCCCACATCTGAATTTAGTTGGGGACCCCTGGCCAGTATAGACAGTACTGACAAGTTATCTCAAAGAGTGAAATTATATATCTGTTGAGATCCTATAGGGTCGTTCCATTTGATTTCAATCACTTTTTGACTGCACCCCTTTTGATTTGAACAAAACTTTCTATACATATTTGCCCATGGTAGAAGTGGTCAGAAAGTAACTTTTTGGACCTGAATGCCAAAACATTTAGAAAATGGAAGTGCTCAAAGTTGACCCATTTTGCATACACTACCCTACCATGAGACATCCATGTCTTTATCACTGGAAAAGATAAACAGTCGAGTTTGATATCATTTAAAAGCTTACAAACAGGGTTGTCAAACTATTTAATAATTTAATGAAACATAAAACAAATATATATAATCATGTCATTTTTAAACCTTTAACTTCAATTATCAAAAAAGTATTTACTTTTTGCATATGTTGTAGTTTAGACCCTATTTTACATAATCTGAGGTGTTTGTGTTGTGTCCGTCATCGGTTAAGACACAGCATGCTCTTGAATACAGAGTGGGTGTCATGTTGCTGTCTCGACCTCTGAATGCTCGGCTATGAAAAGCCAACTGACATTTACTCCTGAAGTGCTGACCTGTTGCACCCTCTATAACCACTGTGATTATTATTGACCCTGCTGGACATCTATGAACGTTTGAACATCTTGAAGAACGATCTGGCCTTAATGGCCATGTACTCTTATAATCTCCACCCGGCACAGCCAGAAGAGGACTGGCCACCCCTCAGAGCCTGATTCCTCTCTAGGTTTCTTCTTAGGTTCCTGTCTTTCTAGGGATTTTTTCCTAACCACCATGCTTCTACATCTGCATTGCGTGCTCTGGGGTTTTAGGCTTGGTTTCAGTATAAGCACTTTGTGACAACTGATTATGTAAAAAGGGCTTTATAAATACATTTGATTGATTGACTAAAAGGGAAATAAAATGTACATTTCAACTTTAAAATTGTAGCACAAAGATGGATGGAGGTCCATACATCAGAGAATGTTGAATTGAATGGGAATATCAGTTGTTTTAATTAACCTGTCAATCTTCCATAGGAAACCTATTGAAATCATAGAAATATAGATCATAGAATAGACATTTCAGTTTAAGTTGACATTTGACGGTGGGTGGACCGGCAGCCTTCTTTGTGGTAGTAATTGGGAGATTGAATGTCAATTCAATTTACGTTTCAATGATGTACCAGCTAAATTGCAGTGGTCTGCAATTCTATGAATTGTATTTCTATGATTGAATGACATGCACCCTTATTTAAGAGTATGCTGTCTCAACCGATGGCGGGCACAACACAAAAACCTCAGATGGTGTAAAATAGGTTTTAAGCTACAACATACAGTATGTGTAAAGCAAAATAATCGGAGTTTACGCGTTTTTAGATAATTCACGTAAAAAAAAGTACATAGTTTTTATAAATAAATAAATAAATCAAGAAATTATAAAATAGTTTGTCAACCGTGTTTGTAAGCTTTTAAGTGATATCAAACTCAACCGTTTATCTTTTCCAGTAATGAAGACATGGATGTCTCGTGGTAGGGTGGGGTATGCAAAACAGGTCAACTTTGAGCACCTCTATCACCTAAATGTTTTGGCATTCAGGTCCAAAAACTCACTTTCTTATAACTTATCCCATAAGTAAATATGTATGGAAAGTTTTGTTCAAATCAAAGGGGTGCGGTCAAAAAGTTATTGAAACCAAAAGAACGACCCTATAATAATGGGTTACTGATTTTCTGTGATGGGGAGTAGTGAACTACATGTAGCTCAACTAGTAATTCAAATACATTTAGCTGTAGTTTGGTGGTGGTAGTTGAACTAAATTCAAATCTTGGTAGTGTTTTCAGTAGTTACCCACTGGGCACAGACGTCAATTCAACGTCTATTCCACTTTGGTTTAACGTAATTTCATTGAAATACTGTGGAAGCAACGTTGATTCAAACAGTGTGTGCCCAGTAGGTAATTACTTTTTTTGCCATGTAGTGGTGTAGCTAACTACTGGAACTACACACTACATTTTTGCAAAAAGAACAGAAAATATGGTTAAAGTAGGCAAGATTTCCTGTCTTTTTCAGCATCTGACCTGTTTACACTGATTGAAGTGGATTTAACAAGTGACATCAATAAGGGATCATAGCTTTCACCTGGATTCACCTGGTCAGTCTATGTCATGGAGAGAGCAGGTGTTCCTAATGTTTTGTACACTCAGGGTATATTTTCAGAGTAGCTTCCCCAACACTGCTGATTTTGTATTCAAACTAGGCTTGTATACAGAACATGAAATTAAGCTATTATCTTTGATTCAGACATTTTGTTATGCATACTAAGTGGACTTCAAATGGAATTCCCAATAATACTCCATCCAAACAACTAATTTAATCATAGACTAAATGTAGGAACTTGGAGCTGAATAGTCAGTGGAATTGGTTTGAAAGCAGATATTAAGATGGACTACACTTCTACACTTCACTACACTACTGTACATTAGACCTACACTACACTACACTACTGTACATTAGACCTACACTACATTACACTACTGTACATTAGACCTACACTACACTACACTACTGTACATTAGACCTACACTACACACACTACTGTACATTAGACCTACACTACACAACACTACTGTACATTAGACCTACACTACACTACTGTACATTAGACCTACACTACACACACTACTGTACATTAGACCTACACTACATTACACTACTGTACATTAGACCTACACTACACTACACTACTGTACATTAGACCTACACTACACTACACTACACTACTGTACATTAGACCTACACTACACTACACTACACTACTGTACATTAGACCTACACTACACACACTACTGTACATTAGACCTACACTACACACACACTGTACATTAGACCTACCACTACACTTACAAACTACTGTCATTAGACCTACACTACACTACTGTACATTAGACCTACACTACACACAATATGTACATTAGACCTACACTACACTACACTACTGTACATTAGACCTACACTACACAACACTACTGTACATTCGACCTAACTACACTACACTACTGTACATTAGACCTACACCTACACTACACTACTGTACATTAGACCTACACTACACAACACTACTGTACATTAGACCTACACTACACTACACTACTGTACATTAGACCTACACTACACTACTGTACATTAGACCTACATTACACTACACTACTGTACATTAGACCTACACTACACTACTGTACATTAGACCTACACTACACGACACTACTGTACATTAGACCTACACTACACTACTGTACATTAGACCTACACTACACTACACTACTGTACATTAGACCTACACTACACTACACTACTGTACATTAGACCTACACTACACACACTACTGTACATTAGACCTACACTACACTACACTACTGTACATTATACCTACACTACACACACTACTGTACATTAGACCTACACTACACTACACTACTGTACATTAGACCTACACTACACTACACTACTGTACATTAGACCTACACTACACTACACTACTGTACATTAGACCTACACTACACTACACTACTGTACATTATTCCTACACTACACACACTACTATACTCCTGGTGCTGGGGAGAAAATAAAAACATAGAACGTTGTTCATACACAGTTGTCTTAAGTGATTAAGTGCTCTTTTGCACATGTTGTATGTTTTGAGAAAAGTTATACAGATGAGCGTCAACTATCAAAACACTGTGTAATGCAGTGGTAATATTTAACAATGTCCCTGTCAGACCTACAGTAGAATTGACATCACAGGAGGTTGGTGGCATCTTAATTGGGGATGACTAACATGTGCTAATAGCTGGAGCGGAAAATGGAGAATGGTATTAAATACATTTTCATGTGTTTGATGCCATTCCATTATTACGAGTCATCCTCCCCTCAGCAGCCTCCACTGATTGACATGATGCAATGTGTTGTCTGGTCTTCACAGGAAAAAGTTGATCTCTGGGATGGAGGACCTTCTCTTCTACACCATTACAGAGGGCAAAGAGATGATCCCTGTCTCTCAGTTCATCTCTGTGAGTCTCCATCTCATCACATCCACCCTCACTGTGTGCCACCAAACAACACTAACCTATACAGTGTTTTTTCCCCTCTAGTTTATTTAACCTATTTTCCTTTTTTGCTGGAATGCATATTGACAACTACCCCAGCTTTCCATGACATCCTTTTAAAGTTGACACAACATGTACTGCACCACAACACATTCTAGTTCCTAAAGGGGCCCTTGGGCTTGCTGTTTTCAATTGAGCTAAATGCACACCGAAGGAATCCCAGGGAGTGTAAGACGAGCCAAGGCAGGAATCAATCACACCATGTCACGAGCCCAGTCCAGGCTCAGGTTTGAAAAGTGTTGAGGAAACGCCTTATGTAACTTTATGACTAATAGACAGGTGTAGCTGTTGTTAATGAGGCTAGAAGTGAATTATCTGAACTCTTTACACTCATGGGGATTGGCCTAAATGGATAGGGCCAAACTGAAATGTTTTTTTACAGAAGAAATATGAAATGCATAAGCGTGGTGGCAATTGAAAGGGAACTGTTTGGAGATTGTGGGAACATTATTAGACCAACGTTGAGGACACAACAGTTCACCTGACACATGACTGAATCCAAACATTACACTGTTGATTTTATGTGCGTTTTACATTTACTGTACTTATTTTTACATTTACTGTACTTTTCGCCACATTTGTTGATAACGAAATCTGAAAATACTTTGGATCAGGAGTATCAAGGAGTCCAATCCGGCCTGCGGGTCGTTTGAGTAAAATAATATTTTTTTTGGGGGACCTCAATTTACTTTAAAATGACAAAAACCAAATCGAAACTGTGTAGAAATAATAATGGACCTATATTCATAAAGTTTCTTGACTGTCCAACTCACTAATAATCACTAGACAGTCAGGTAGCATCGAAAATTCCCAAAACTATGGATAGAGGACTATTTGTAGCAAATTTTGACAGCAAAGAAAAGGAAAAAAATGTGTATGGCCCTCTAGACCTTGTTGAACACTGAATGCAGCCCCCGGAGCAGAATTAGTTTGACACCCCTGCATTCAGTAACATGATAAGAATATTCCTGAAAAATGTAGGGTAGGTGTAACATAAGACAAAACAATGACAAAGGTTTGAGTGAGAGGTCAAACTGGTGTCTCCAAGTGGAAACACACCTCTCCAAAGTATGCACTTTTCCTAAGCAATTTCAATGAACTCTTATGACTCAAAGAAGAGTCTTCAACTATAAGGTGCTTTTAGGAGCTCTCCTAGCTGTGTCGTTCAGGAACTAGAGCAAGCACACTTGTTGTTGTTTTCTTTGTAGCACAACCCTGCATCCCCGCCATCACACAATTACTGTTGTTGTTTACGCAATCCAAAAACGGTCCATTATAAATCGCAATCTGGGTCAGGTGGGCATCATTTGAAAGCTTATTCTATTGCCAACATGACTAGCTAAGTTATAAAAAAAATGGAGTTAGGCTTTCACAAGGCAATTCAGAGAAACAGATCGTAATTTTAGTGTACATAGAGTCATGAGTGCATTCAGGTGCGTGTTCCACTGCGAATTTTCTTCACAATAGACAACAGGCAGTTTCTGTACAGAAAAACCCAGGGCATGACGCCATGTCAACTGTACATCAAACATAGTGATCATAAACATTGACGCTGTATACAGTATGACATGCATTTTATGATATGGAAATGTGAAGTGCACATTTGGACTCATGGGTGTTTGGCTTGCTTGGATGACATCAAAGCAGTATTTATTGTAATCCTCAACATCTCATCTTTCAAAATACATAGAGTCCTCTAAAGTTACAGCATTTCCCCTCACTCAGACAATAGAAAATGTGCAAAAGTTTCCCAATTAGCGGGAGGGATGGAGGTATCTTCTTTTCGCGTGCGATGCTCAAGTTCATCTTGTTTTGTGTGTATTGGTCAAAGGTAATGCAGTAGCAGGGGAGTGTGCAGTTCTTCTCAAATGTAAATTTGTATGAGTTCTCCACACTCTCTTCCTCACAAGAGCGTACTCAAGAGACCTTCCTCGAACTCGGAGCATGAGTGTGGAGCATGGTAGTATGCATATTGAGAAACACCCTCTGTGTCACCTCTCAGGGCTTTTACACCACAATTTAGATTAGAACATCATGGAGGTCTCAGCTCAGTTGGTGAAAAAGTCATACAAGCACAGTCATCCATAGCACCATGCATGCTGAACTTAGCATTTTACGATGTGTGAAGAGACTCTGTGTCCAGTGTCCCCTCCCAGTGCTTTTACATCATAATTCATACCTTCAGACCCTTGCTTGGTGCCCCTCATATGCATATTCAAATTAACTCTGAACAGTATAGGGGTCTATTAAAAGACTGTGTGGTGTTGTGGCACAGTGTGATATTTGACAGGCCATTGTCTTATGACCTTTGAATCATTGTCAACATGGCTTTTTAACATTGTATCACAGAAACACTGGCAATGACTTTTAGACGGCTCTAACCAATGACTGTATATGAATGGACAAAGCCATCAATCATGTGACACCATTAATTCCCATGTGAAGAATCATATGGCTCATTTGAAGCCAAGGACGTCCGTTAAAGGCCCAGTGCTGTTTGAAAAGACGGCCTGAAATCTCAGCCTATTTTGGTGGGATGGAGTTTTGGCCTGCCTGGTGACATCACCGGGTGGTAAATTAGTTAATAGACCAATAAGAAATAGAGTTCCAAATAATAGCTAGTTTTCAGTTTTCCCCTCCCCACTCGGAACCACTCCTAGACAGTCCTAGCAAAATTCTTTGCTAAGAAGCTATTTTTTTATTCTTAAAAAACAAAAACAAAAGCACAGTAAGGTACTTAATTGTTACCCAGAAATGATTTGATATTGAGATAAAAACGGCTGCATTGGACCTTTAAGATGGTGTCTCATGGAGACATAAAGTGCATTTTGAGCTACTCCAGGAAGTGTCAGCTCAGTGCTGCCACCATTCATTGAGAATCTCCAATTGAAGGCCGACCAGGGCAGGCTGCCATTAGCAACTAAATTATCCTTAGGGATGGTTCCAAATTTACAGAATGGTTACCTGGAGGAAAATGGGGGAGGGTCATGCTTTTTCAATTTCAGTCATTGGGAGTGTTTAGTATTTTTTAAATCCAGTCCAGGGAAGGGTCATGTAATTTTTTATTGATTATATTTCTCAGTGTTTTACAATTAGTTACCTATTAGGCTAGATATCGATGTGTGTCCAATGCCACCCCTCATCTCTGATTCTCTGCACAATATCAAGTGCGCCTATAGGCTATTTAGTGTGGTCTCAATCAAATGATCCATAGCCTATAGGCTATGAAGTTCATGCTCGGGGAGAAGCACAGAGCTAAGTTATATTTCTAACATAGCTGCTGGGATGGTCTAAATAAAACTAGGCTGCATTACACACTGCAATGGATATTCCAACCCTGAGCCCCGGCCTGCTCTGCTCTTGCTGATCAAAACCTTTTTTTGTGCTGGTTAACCAAGGGCTGTGCTGTGTAGGGCTGTGGTGACAGTTCAGGAGGAGAGTCAAAGGCTTCTTCCATTAAATTTTTTTTATTAGGCCTATTCCAAAAAATGATTGTGAGCCGACTAGCCTATAGCCTGTTCTGTTCTGCTTGGGAAGGAGAGCACAAAGATGAGAAGGATCGGTGGTTCACTTTGATAGTTTGCTACTACTAGGCTATAATTGATTTTATTAAATACAATATGTTTCTTGTCCATTATGTATTTATCAGAGTTATTGACCAACCTCACAATAAGCCAGATTCACGTAACTTACAATATGGTCCTGAAACAATCAATCAAAATGGACAGCTCATGGTGCTGAAAGTAGGCAAATTAGAGTAGGAATAAGTCATTTAAAACATATTTATTTTAATTAGACTTTACTAACAACAAGAGGGCTTTGTGTTGGAGCCTATTTCTTCCTATTTAAGAGGTAGGCCTACTTGTTTGACAGACGAAATTAGGCAATAGGCTGCTATATTCATAATTCCTCCACCCACCATGTACTCTGTAAATAGCCTACCCTCTGTATCAGTGAAGGACTGTAAAGTTAAAACCAAGACTCGAATTGAGAGGGAATGCCATAGGCCTACCTTTTATTAAAGAAAAGCACAGTCCTACCCCTTGTTAGCTTAAGATTTTGAAGAAGATAAAAACAGATCCGATTATATAAAGTGATCTGTAACAGTGCTTTGGTCAGCTATGCTTTATGCTAGAAACAAGCTGTAAAATACCTGGGAAAGGTTGCAACACATTATCACAGCTTATTGTGAAATATACACAAATTACTTATTTGAAATTCGTGACAGGCACACGAAAAAGTCCACTTTTTCATTTGTATTACACGATTTTCATCACAACTCATTTCGTGTGTATTACACATTCCATTTGTTGTGGCTAAAGTTAGCTAGGCCAGCTAGTCTAGGTCCAGAAACCAATGGGTTGGGCCAGAGCCAGAACACGTGGGTAAAGAGGTAGTTTGAAAATTCGTCATTGGCTTTGATACTCTAATTGGTTAGAGACGATCCAATCGCTGATGACTTTCTTTTGTACAACACCCCTCGTGCCCCTCGTCACCACAAACAACCTTTATGATGGCAGTCTCAGACTGAAGTATGTAGCGCGCGACAGAGCAGCGGAAGAGTATACTGTGAGTCGTCAGGTTACACTTTCTCTGCTTCTCGCTGTATTTTCGCTTGGACAGATTTTGGGGCAGAGTCAAGCCTCACGCTTTGCCTCTTCAGTACAGTATGCACTGTATTATCTTTGTGAACCCCAGGCTGTAGTGATGCCGCAACACCGCGATGCAGTGCCTTAGAACGCTGCACCACTCGGGAGGCCAGCAATTCTGTTTCTTAACTAGTTTTATTGAAGTACTTTCTCTCATTCAATATCTCAATAGCTTTACAATTCTGTCAGATACACTGTACTGCCCCCAGTAAATATAGCTTTGAATGCTGCTGACCTAAAGAGTCGTTTACAGGACTGCTTGAACACTTGTTGCTGCTCACTTAATGGCAAAACAGGGTTTGTGCATGTGGTCAGTTACATTTCAATTTGTTCCAATTCAGGTATTGAATGTGACACACTAAAGCAATTATTGTAGTCCTGTATATTCTCAGTTTCTCTAAAACGAAAGAAAAGTAATTATACAGTGCCTTCGGAAAGTATTCAGACACCTTGACTTTTTCCACATTTTGTTACGTTACAGCCTTATTCTAAAATGGATTTAAAAAAATTAAATCCTCAGCAATCTACACACAATGCCCCATAATAACAAAGCGAAAACAGGTTTTTAGAAAAAGAAATACCTTATTTACATACACTACCAGTCAAACGTTTGGACACACCTACTCATTCAAGGGTTTGTCTTTATTTTTACTATTTTCTACATTGTAGAATAATAGTGAAGACATCAAAACTATGAAATATCACATATGGAAACATGTAGTAAACAAAAAAGTGTTAAACAAATCAAAATATATGTTACATCAAATAGCCACACTCTTCGCATTCTCTCAACCAGATTCATGAGGTAGTCACTTGGAATGGATTAAAATGAACAGGTGTGCCTTCTTAAAAGTTAATTTGTGGAATTTCTTTCCTTCTTAATGCATTTGAGCCCATCAATTGTGTTGTGACAAGGTAGGGAGGTATACAGAAGATAGCCCTATTTGGTAAAAGACCAAGTCCATATTATGGCAAGAACAGCTAAAATAAGCAAAGAGAAACAACAGTCCATCATTACTTTAAGACATGAAGGTCAGTCAATACGGAACATTTAAAAAACTTTGAACGGTTCTTCAAGTGCAGTCGCAAAAACCATCAAGCGCTATGATGAAACTGGCTCTCATGAGGACCGCCACAGGAATGGAAGACCCAGAGTTACCTCTGCTGCAGAGGATAACTTAATTAGAGTTAACTGCACCCAAATAATTGCAGCCCAAATAAATGCTTCACAGAGTTCAAGTTACAGACATATCTCAACATCAACTGTTCAGAGGGGACTGTGTGAATCAGGCCTTTATGGTCAAATTGCTGCAAAGAAACCACTACTAAAGGACACCAATAAGAAGAACAGACCTGCTTGAGCCAAGAAACACAAGCAATGGACATTAGACAGGTGGACATTTGTTGTTTGGTCTGATGAGTCCAAATTTGAGATTTTTGGTTCCAACCGCGGTGTCTTTGTGAGACGCGGTGTGGGTGAACGGATGATCTCCGCATGTGTGGTTCCCACCGTGAAGCATGGAGGAGGAGGTGTTATGATGTTGGGGTGCTTTGCTGGTGACACTGTCTGTGATTTATTTAGAATTCAAGGCAAACTTAACCAGCATGGCTACCACAGCATTCTGCAGCGATACGCCATCCCATCTGGTTTGGGCTTTGTGGGACTATCATTTGTTTTTCAACAGGACAATGACCCAACACACCTCCAGGCTGTGTAAGGGCTATTTTACCAAGAAGGAGAGTGATGGAGTGCTGCATCAGATTACCAATTGAGATGGTTTGGGATGAGTCGGACGGCAGAGTGAAGGAAAAGCAGCCAACAGGTGCTCAGCATATGTGGGAACTCCTTCAAGACTGTTGGAAAAGCATTCCAGGTGAAGCTGGTTGAGAGAATGCCAAGAGTGTGCAAAGCTGTCATCAAGGCAAAGGCTGGCTATTTGAAGAATCTCAAATATAAAATATATTTTGATTTGTTTTACACTTTTTTGGTTACTACGTGATTCCATATGTGTTATTTCATAGTTTTGATGTCTTCGCTATTATTCTACAATGTAGAAAATAGTAAAAATAAAAAAATAACTTGAATGAGTAGGTGTGTCCAAACTTTTGACTGGTACTGTATATCTGCTCTATTATGCCCTGCATCTGTAGGACCAGCATGGGGGTTAGCTCAGCAGTGTACTGATCACAACTTTCTTAGAGAGCTCAAATATGCATCTCCCTTCCCTAGAGATGCTGTGTCAGTGTTGATCAGCTCACCACAAGCCCATTCCCCTTTCTCCCCCCTCCCTCTCCCTTCTTATTTATTTCTCATTTCTCTCCGTCGAATTTTCTCTCTTTCTCACTCTCATTTTCAAAATGTTCCTCTCTCGTTCTTCCAGGCATTGAGGAGCACAGGTTTATTGACATCGGATCCCAGGCTGAGTGACTGTATGCGTCAGCTGTGCCAGTCAATGCCGGACTCTGCTGGAACAGTCATGATGGACCAGAAACTATTCAGGAAGTGAGCTATGCTCTATTTTCACTTTCACTTTAACCCCTTACACTCATGGAAATTGGCCTATATGGATGGGGCCAAATTGAAATGTTTCTAACAGAAGAACTATAATAAGCAAATGCATGACCATGGTGGCAATTGAAAAATAACACTTTGGAGATTATGGGGAAATGATCAGACCAAAGGTGAGGACACAACCGTTCACCTGACACGAGACTGAATCCAAAAATTACACTGTTGATTTTATGTGCATTTTACAAATACTTTGGATACATTCAGTAACATACATTTTGAAGTAGGTGCAAGATAAGAAAAAAATAATACAAGGGTTTGAGTGAAAGGTCTAACTGGTGTGGCCACACACCTCTCCAAAATTTGAACAGTTCCTAAGTAATTTCAATGCACTTTTATGACCCAAGGAAAGAGCCTTCAACTATAAGGTGCTTGTTTGAGCTCTCCTAGCTTTGCCATTGAGGAACTGAAGCAAGCACACTATGTTTTTGTTTGTAATACAGCCCTGCGTCCCCACCATCACACAGTTACTGTTGTTGTTTACACAATCCAAAAATGGTCCATTAGAAATCACAATCTGGGTCAGGTAGGCATCATTTGAAAGCTTATTCTAGTCCCAACATGGCTAGCTAAATTATAAAATATGATCATACGGTGTTAGGCTTTTAAAAGGCACTTCAGACAAACAGATTGTAATTTTGGTGCGCATAGAATGGAGTGCATTGAAGTGCATGTTCTGCGGCAAATCTTCTTCACAATACGACAAACGCAGGCTCATTCTGTTCAGGGTGTAACACATGTCATCCTTGTAACTGTGGATCAAACATAGCAATCATAAAAGTTGATACTGTAAATGACATGTTTTCAAATATAGAAATGTGAAGTGTACATTTGGACTCATGGGTGTGTGGTTTGCTTGTATGACATCAAAGCGATAATTTATTAAAATCTCAATTTTTCAGAACACTTTGACTCCTCTCGGTTTACAGCATTTCCCTTACTCAGACAACAACAAATGTGCAAAAGTAGCCCAATTAGCGGGAGGGATGGGGGAATCTTTTTGTCATGCCCGGTGCTCAAGTTTATAACTGCTGTCAGTCAAAACCCATACAGCCCTGTGAAGTGGAGAACCTGAGCTCTGACGTCATGTATAGCATGTTACTGTACAGCCACTGGGTTCCAATTTAGGCGCTTATCAATGACAAAATCATGTTCAACCTGTATAGGTGATGACAGGAGCTGTGAGTGAAAAGGGCCACCACTCTAATGATTTTGGATAGGATGGAATGGATACAGCCTTGTTTGGCCCTTTTATCTTATCATATAAATCCTCTAGTAGGATGGTTTAGAGATAGTATTTACTAGTAAACACTATGATTATTTAATTCAGAAAGTTAGCATAATGTATTATGTCTTTCTCTATCCCACATAGAGTATTCTCATTCTTCTTGCTGTTTGTCAAAACACCACACACACCTTATCCCATTTTTACATTTTCTTGAAAGTGACATTATAGTATTTCACTGGGTGGAGGAACTATTTTTGCTATTGCCCCCAGTGTTTACTAGAAACTTCCAAGACTTTGTTTTCCACTCTCTCTGTCTGTATTTGTGTCTGCTCTGCATACCTCTACAGTGGACAGAGGGAGATGTGTTATGGAAGGGAAGTTTGATTGTCAGGGATGTTTGATTGTTTTGTTTGTGTTGGAGTCAAAGACAGATTGACAGCGTCTGTCGTTTTATGGCCGTCACCTGCCTCTGAACCTCACTGGTGCACATGTAAACGTAACACATACACACACACATGCATGCGCGAGCACACACACACACACACACACACACACACACACACACACACATGCAGACATGCAGAGAGAGAGGGATAGTTCTGGAATTGTTGGCGAACAGAGTATGACATTTGTGCAGGGCTTAAGTCTGGACAGGAGCTAATGAAAGGCCAGCTTAGTGGGTGAACTGCAGACGGTGCCGGTTGAATTAGGAGCTCAGCTTATCAACAAGCCCCGATGGGCTCTAGACTGCTGTCCAAACAGTATTACTTCCTAAGTGGCAAAGTTAACTTAATGAACGCAGTGATGATTCAGACACTGGCCTGTTACAGTAGTGGGTCACTGAGTCCTGTCTCGTGGACTTCTTCTTACATTGAATTACTATGTTCCAGTGAATGAACACTGCATATCTACAGTCCCTTTGCACATCTTAGATTGAGACTTGGTGTTGTGCTTGGTATTGTTTCTAAACTAGGGCCAAAGACACACAAAGAAAGTAATGTAGAACAGAACAATGTGTGTGATTAGATATTGGTCTTTCCTTCTGAGGAACACTCTGAAGTGGTCATTAGAAATATCATGGTCCAAACACACCAAGACTGTCGTGAAGAGGGCACGACAAAGCCTATTCCCCCTCAGGAGACTGAAAAGATTTGGCATGGGTCCTCAGATCCTCAAAAAATTATACAGCTGCACCATCGAGAGCATCCTGACTGGTTGCATCACCGCCTGGTATGGCAACTGCTTGGCCTCCGACCGCAAGGCACTACAGAGGGTAGTGCGTACGGCCCAGTACATCACTGGGGCCAAGCTTCCTGCCATCCAGGACCTCTATACCAGGCGGTGTCAGAGGCCCTCAAAATTGTCAAATACTCCAGCCACCCTAGTCATAGACTGTTCTCTCTGCTACCGCACTGCAAGCGGTACCGGAGTGCCAAGTCTAGGTCCAAAAGACTTCTCAACAGCTTCTACCCCCAAGCCATAAGACTCCTGAACAGCTAATCATGGCTACCCGGACTATTTGCACTGCCCCCCCCACCCCATCTTTTTACACTGCTGCTACTCTGTTAATTATTTATGCATAGTCACTTTAACTCTACCCACATGTACATATTACTTCAACTACCTCAACTAGCCGGTGCCCCTGCACATTGACTCTGCACCGGTACCCCCCTGTATATATAGCCTCCCTACTGTTATTTTATTTTACTTCTGCTCTTTTTTTCTCAACACTTTTTTGTTGTTTTATTCTACTTTTTTATTTAAAATAAATGCACTGTTGGTTAAGGGCTGTAAGTAAGCATTTCACTGTAATGTCTGCACCTGTTGTATTCGGCGCATGTGGCCAATAAAATTTGATTTCATTTCATTAGAAATAGGCCACTAGAAATAAAGAAACTCCCATTTCTGGTGAATGTATAAATTATGCAATCCTTCTATTCGCCTCCCCAGTTCCCCAAACTCTAAACAAGTTGCGTATTAACAAGCCTCATCACGGCTATGAGAGAATTTGAATGCCATTCTTTGAGATCACGTCAGTGCTTACTAAACTTAGCGTGTTGTTTATCTAATGGTAAAGGCAGGTGTGTATCTACAATATGATAGGCTGTCTATTCTCAGCATTTCATTTGGTCCCAGTTGGGGTCCAGTTTTAGGTTGTTGGTGTCATTAGGATTTAATCAAAGGATCAGTAGTCTATCTGTTTTATAGATATAGGTCACTTAGCCCTGATACGTGGTTGTTGACTCCTAGATGCCTCATAAGAGTCAACAGCCATGTATCAGGGCTATAGGTCATTGACACTGTGTGGGTTAATACAGTAGTTACACTATTAAAAAATCATCTAAATTAACTGATCGTAGTGCGTGCATACATTTGTATGGTTGGCCCCAGCAGGAATCGAACCCACAACTCTACTGTTGCAAGCACCATGCTCCACCAACTGAGCCACAGTGAGACATTATCTATGTGATATACAAAGTATACATGTGATGTCATATATTTATGTATGTATGTTGTGTTTCAGATGTGTGGGGGCTAACATCCTGCTGCTGACCCAGGCGTTCAGGAGGAAGTTCATCATCCCAGACTTTGAGGCATTTGCGTCCAACATCGACCAACTGTACTACAGTACCCAGAGGCGGGAGGGGGGACACGTGAGTTCTGTTAGGATGCCTACACCTGTGGTTTTCAAACCTGTGGTCCGTGGACCGGAGTACTGCAGGTGGTCCGCACATTTTGGTAGATTGTTTTGGGGGTGTACAATTTTTCTTCAAAAAATAATAACAGTTTGGAGTATTTATGGTATAATACGCAATTTGACATGACTTTTCACAATGTAAATGGTTTATAATAGGCCTTTAATTTGGTAAATTCACTGCTAAAATTGAAAAATGTTAGCCACAAAGATATTTTATGTTTACAAAAAAACACGACTCTGCAAATGGTGGTCCTCAAGAGCTTTTGACAATGATGGTCCCCGGAACGGAAAAGGTTGCGAACCGTTGGCCTACACTATACACATAGTAATTCCCACGTTAAAAACGTTCTCTCACATACTCTACACATACACACCTACACATTGACATATGAGGACAAGCTAAAATAAGCACACCACCAAACATTTGCTTGCACACATTAAAAAACATTCACTTGGACACTGTGAAAAGCTCACTCACTGTACATTCGTAGATACATGCACATACACACATGTCCTGTACATACCTGCCTTTGACATACATGACACATGACTTATCCACTCCATTCCTTTGTGTGTGTGTCTTTTGCTTAGGTAGCAGATTACATTCCTCAACTGGCTAAATTCAGCCCTGATCTGTGGGGTGTGTCACTATGCACCGTGGATGGACAGAGGTAAGATTACCGCATTTGAGTCACCTGTCTGTCTCCTTTTATCACCACTGGTTTCCATCATAAGACACATAACCCCATGTCACTGAAATGAAGAGCATTGAACAGGCAGGCAGTCTGCATGTCACCCCCCCATCTTGCCCAGTAAGTGTCTGCCTAACTTATTCATGTAGAATCATCCTCTGTATCTGCTTTCACCTCAGCTGTCCCATGATCTCTCCCCTGTGTCCTGCTGGCGTGATGCAGACATTCTGCAGGTGACACCAACGTTCCATTCTGTCTTCAATCATGTGTGAAGCCTCTAGGGTACGCCATCGCTGTGCACGAGATTGGCACTGAGCATGTGCATCGCTACGTGGGCAAAGAGCCCAGCGGACTCAAATTCAACCAGCTGTCACTGGATGAGGAGGGTGAGAGACTGTTACCCTAACCCTGTATGGCTAGATACACACACCTAGTACATGTGGATCTTTCTATAAAAAATGGGGCCAATGTGTGACACTGGGATTGACATTTCAAAATGTCTTTTTATGCTGTTCCACATGTGTACTTAGAGGAATAAAAGTGAATATATGCAAATTGGCCCATAACTCCACCTATACAACAACATTGGCCTAGGACTATAGATCCTTTAAGCAGGGTTCATATAGACATTGGCAAGTCAAATGTCTGATTTTCAAGGTAAGGCCTATTCCAGTACTTTTCTGAGCTCCAAATTCAAGTTCAAGTATGCAACTTCAAGCCCCTGTATTGTTTAAAATTGCAGATGTAACATGAAAAAAGTATTTGTCATGTTATTTCATTACCAGATCATATTGTGAATAAGCCCATTAGGCTATGTAATTTGTTGTCATTATATCCAGAATAATTAATAGGACTAGTTTTGGGTGTTGCGCAATAGTCTATCTTACACGATTGCTCACAGTAGACTTGGTGTCCAAACCAAGGCACAAAAACATATGAAAACATGAACACATTACCTTGATGCTTTCTCTGTTAAATCTAACGAGACCCTGCTGTAAATCAAGCAGACAACAACAGATGATCAACCTCAATTCTCTAGGGATATTAGATCCAACGTGGATCCAGGCACAACCGTCTTCACCAACTTAACAAATGAGACACCAAAACATTCTGGACCTTCCTTGCGAACACCTTTTTTTTTCCAGCACTTGGGCTCTTGTTGCATCACATGCGCTATCACAACAGCTGTTCGTCACTTGACTGTCATTTGGAAAATTCCTTCCTAGATCAGATGATGATGTGTGAAAATATCATTGCATAACTAATCAGCTGGACACCAAATGCTCATCCAACAAGTATTATGCATAATTATTGAAGAACCACTTTAATGACAGTATCAATTTAGGTTGTAAGTATCAGTGTAAGGTAACTTTCGGTTAGAAGGATTCGATTTTGCAATCACATTTATTATTTTGGATTTGTGTGCCCATGAAAACTGTTTTCACCTCATAACATAAGAAGACAAGAAACGTTATGTAGTTACACTGCATTTCTGAGATGTCCTATACAAACAACTGTCTGACAGCTAGATCCAGGATTCTTACAGGGTTCAAGTTCAATGTCAAATTTAACTGATTTATGCTTATATATGATGTAATGACATAAATGCAAGGACAGAAAAGTAATGTTTTATGTCACATGCTTTTGAACAAATCCGTCAAGACACCAACCATGATAAAGTTTTACACATAGGTTTTAAATCAACTTGTGAATTTGATTGAATATAGCTATGATCCCCCCTTATATCTTAATGTAATGACATTAACATTTTTTGCAGATTATTATTAATGACTTATCAACAGCTGTAAGAAGTTGTCCAGTGTAGGAAATCCTCAGTGGGACCCTAGTTTATAGAAAGACCCATGTCTCTGTGTCCACTTCTGTGTAGATGCCCCACACTTGAATGCATCTGAGTACTGAGGTAACTCAGTAGTAAGGTAGTAAATAGTTCATTCCAATGTTACACTGTGGAAGCAAACGATTATGGCAAGACAAGAGAGCCAACCTCTCTGCAACTACATGGGGAAAATACCCATCAGCTTGATCTATGATTGCAACAAGCTGTAGGTACAGGTCAATAGAGCAGGAACAAGCAAGAACAGGCCATCTGATCATTAGCAAGTCAATACATCTTATCTGCAGGTTCCCTATCAGCTGGCTAGGTTCCATTACATATGTTCATCTGTGGCACACACACATGCATGTGTTCACTTTTTTAGTGGAAGTTATTTTAGTGGCCATATCTTTAGGTTATATGGTGGTGGTGGAGTGCACGGCAGTGATAACATTGTCCTCTCTCTCTGGACAGATAAACCACACAACCCTATGGTGAACGCCGGGGCTATCGTCATCAGTTCTCTGCTCAAGGTAAGGGGATTTCTGGGTGCACTGATGTTATAATTAAGTGATAATCCCCTCGAAGCCGGTGTTTGGAGGATATATTGGCACGTGTTGCCAATATATCCTCCAAACACCGGCTTCGAGGGCATTAACACTTTTATACAACGGGTTACCAACATATTCAAACAATGATTGACATATTTTCATTAAAAACTTTATTTTGTTGAATTTATTCATACTATTTCATCCTTCCACAAGATATAGTCCCGACACAAATCTAGGGTCTCTACCCAAGCCGGCTGGTCGTTCGTTCTATCGGTTCGGTTGCCAGAGTTGCGACCCAGTCGTTCAGTCTTTTTGTTCTGTATCTATGGACGTGACCCGTTCGTTCTAAATGTTCCATTGCCATACTGGCTGGCAACGTTCTTATCCCTTGCTTGCTAGCTAGCCAACTACAGCTAACTTACAGTCATGTCAAAAAAGTTCAGCCTGAATAACAGCAAAGTAGCAGCATTTGCATTGTTTAAGCTGTTTTCTAGTGACATTTATTTGGATACATCCATAACAATGAGCTAATGAGGCGCGATTTTGCCTGGCATAGAAAATGTGCTCACTCGTCAGGACACTGTTGTTCAGAGGAGCTAGCCAACAACACAGCTAACACAATCACTTCCGACTGAAGCTGGAAAGACTGCAAACTAGCTGCACTTTGTTTCATTTTACCTTTTTTCAATTGACATTTCTTTGTATATTTCCATAAAATGTCTGATTCATGATTTCGACTGGCTGAGAAACGCCGCCTGCCTTTCTGTCTCGTCCCGACTCCCGACACGTTCATGACTATGGGACAGCTGGAGATCAAATTTGAATATTGAAACAATGTTGCAAATGTCGGACAGACAGCAAGGTTAAGACAAATCTCCGCTGTTGAAAACGAAATGTTAGTCTAAAAGAAATGTCTTGATGCTTTTTATAGTGGAGATCAAGTTTATAAATTGCCTGGCTGGGCTGATGAGACAGTGGATTGTGCGGTCAGATGGAACAGAGTAAATAGGCATTTCAACGTCATAGCTTTAGCCGGTGGTAACTTGTGGAATAGACACCAGCTGGAATGCAGTTTTAACCAATCAGCATTCAGGATTAGACCCGCCCGTTGTATAATCTCTTATAACCTTTTCATGAGGTTTTAGAATTAGAGCACAGCTCAAATCTTTGCTACCTAACTGAAACAAAATCAGGAGTACATTACATGCACACAGATTAAGCATTGCATTGCATATATGAATGCAAACTGCTATACACCAAATCCACTCCAACATCAGATATACAGGAAATCTGTCGTAACTAGTACAGCCAAGTGTCACGGTCAGACTTTACCGTCAATCATTGACCAATTGCCCAGAGGTCAATAAACTCTCACCAGCTGACTCACCAACCCTCCCTATCAATCAGCATTGCCCTCATTCTAACAGCTACAGCAGTGGGGAAAAGGGCTGGCCTCTGCCTTATGTAGACATGGACCTCTATTCTTCTGTGTTTTCCTCTCCTTTCCATGGCTGCCTGTCCTTACCAGCTGACTGGAGAGATATGCCTCTTGGCCATGTAGGTCACGTACAGTAATGGGGGAGGGGGTTACTGTCGGTGTGTTTGTGTGTTTATTTTTTTTATGTCTTTGACAATCGTTCTTTAAAGGTCTGATAAATACGGTTTTATCTCAGTATCATATAATTTCTGGGTAACAATTACAGTGCCTTCAGAAAGTATTCATATCAAATCAAATCAAATCAAATGTTATTTGCCACATGCGCCGAATACAACAGGTGTAGACATTACCGTGAAATGCTTACTTACAGCCCTTAACCAACAATGCATGTATTTCTTAATAAAAAAGTAAAATAAAACAACAACAACAAAAAAGTGTTGAGAAAAAAAGTGTAAAATAAAGTGTAAAATAAAATAACAGTAGGGAGGCTATATACAGGGGGGTACCGGTGCTGAGTCATATCCCTTGATTTATTACACATTTTGTTGTGTTACAGCCTGAAATCAAAATGGTTTAAATCGTTTTTTTCACTCACCCATCTACACACAATACCCCATAATGACAAAGTGAAATGAAAATGTCTACATAGGGTCCTTTAAAGGGCCAATGTAGATGTTTTTTTAAATCTCAATATCATATCATTTCTGGGTAACAAATAAGTACCTTACTGTGATTGTTTTCAATAAAAATTGTCTAAAAGAAACAAAAATAGCTTCTTAGCGAAGCGCAATTGACCCTTCGCTAAGCCACTGTTGGTTACTGTTGCAACCTCGGACAACAATTTCCTGGGAAGCCCAATTCCCCATTCAACCACTGGTGAAATCCCCTCACAATGACCTCAAACTGTGTTTCTAATACACAATGAAATTAAACACAGACCACCCCTTGCTAATCAGGAAATTCTGGGGCTGGGTTTAGCAAAGAGTCAATTTCTCATGCAATAATTTTGCTAGGACTGTCTGAGTGGGTAGGGGAAAACTAGCTGTTATTGGCAGAGAGGTTTGGAACTTTGTCTTATTGGTCTATTAACTAATTTACCGCCTGGAGATGTCACCAGTAAGGCCAAAACTCCATCGGATCAAAACAGACTGACATTTTAGGCGGTCTTTTATCATTTTCACAATTTCACAGTATTATTCCAATCTCATAGTGTGGAAATATATATAACAAACAGAAAAATCTAATGTTTGACTGCACTGGGCCTTTAAGTACAGGAAGCGAGAACAGATAGAGATGGCTGAAGGTAATTTCATTGGCTAATAGTCTATTGCACATACTGTACTAGGCAAGTTGAGGGGAGGACTTGTACTCTTCCAAGTCAGTGTATTACCTCTAGCACGTTTTATTTTGAGTTTATTCAACTGATTTATAAATCAGTTCAGTTGATCTTTCAGAGAGAGCAGAACTCTCAGAAGTTATGAGTGGAAAGACGTGTCACCACTCATGAACACTTCATCAGAATATTGCTGAAAATAAGCCAAGGGTCGCACCACATCAGAAGAAACCTATTCCTTGAGGATAATTCAACAAGTCACAGTAATGTTTCAGATCCTCTCTGACCTTTCAGGACAGTGTGGCTCAGAGCAGTAAGGGGAAGTACCAGTCTCTGCCCTTTTTGGTGATTTAACGACTTGGCGGTGATCTTTCACTGTACCCTGAAACTTAAGCAGGGCAATAATCTGCCCCCGGAGCTTCAAGCCCATGTCATACTCATCACATTACCACACACGGACAGACAGGTGGACAGACAGACACTGTGACTAGTCCTACCCCACACGCCCACCCAGAATCTGTCTGATTCTGCCAGAATACACAAACACTGCAACCTAGGGGCCGAAAAGCTCTCTGCATAGTGTCAATACAGAAATACTACAGCACAAGAACACTGTCCTAAAGTAGTCTTGTTTTTTTACAGCCTAACTCGAACAAGGCAGAGAGGTTTGATTATGTGAGTATCTTTTAAGATTTCAGACTTCTGACATGTCTTATTAGTAACAATGTACATGATATACACTGAGTGTCAAAAACAGTAAGAACACCTTCCTAATATTGACTTGCACCCCCTTCTGCCATCTGAACAGCCTCAATTTGGTGTCGAAAGCATTCCACATGGATGCTGGCTCATGTTGACTTCAATGCTTCCCACAGTTGTGTCAAGTTGGTTGGCTGTCCTTTGGGTGCTGGACCATTCTTGATAGACACGGGAAACTGTTCAGTGTGAAAAACCCAGCAGTGCTGCAGTTCTTGACACAAACTGGTGCGCCTGGCACATACTACAATACCCCGTAAAAAGGCACTTAAATATTTTGTCTTGCCCATTCACCCTCTGAATGGCACACATACACAATCAATGTCTCAATCGTTTCAAGGTTTAAAAATCCTTATTTAACCTGTATCCTCCCCTTCATCTACACTGATTGAAGTGGATTTAACAAGTGACATCAAAAAGGATCATAGCTTTCACCTGGATTCACCTGGTCAGTCTGTGTCATGAAAAGAGCAGGTGTTCTTAATGTTTTGTACACTCAGGGTATTATTTAATCTCACAACTGACACGTCTTTTATCATAGGTAATGGAATACTTAAAGAAGATGACCGGCACAGAGTATGTGGGCTTCAGCAACGCTACGTGAGTGTCAAATTGAATGTTATAATATGCAAATGCAATTATCCAATATTGCAGCCCATACAGTAACTTTAATTTGTGGTGTGATAAACAGCTTTTAATATGTATTTGCCTTCACAGTTTCCAATCAGAGAAAGAGACCGGGGATAGGAATTTTGCTATTGGTTACTACCTGAAGGAGAAAAAAGTGAGTCTGAGTGTTTGAGCTTCACGGAGTCTTACCAATAGTTATACCAATTCTTAAACTCTAAGACTATGAGTTATACTACCTGTTGTTTGTGACCTGAAACTGTGGCCTCTCTCTCATTTTGCCTGACAGTGCTTTCCTGAGAATGCAGATATGATTGCAGCCCTCGACTTCTACTTCCAGGTGAGACTCATTTTTTAAGAAGTTCCATAGCACTGAATCCATAGCACTGAAGGTCTGCGCTGTAGCACAATTGAAATTGAAAGGTGATTTTCGATTCAGCCAACATATGCAGCGTTTACCGTGAATGCAGTCTCCGCAAACGCAGGAACATTGCCTTTCAATTTAAATCGCGCTACAGCGCAGATCTTCAGCGCTACAGATTGAATCTAGCTCCTAGTTTCTGTCCCAGGTGGAAACACTCTGTATTCGACTAAAGTACTACCCTGTACAGTAAACCAGTGGTCTCAACTATTCTCTGTTTTCTCAGCTGTGCTCCATCGAGGTGACGTGTGAGTCAGGCAGTGTCATGGCCGCCACACTGGCCAACGGGGGCATCTGTCCAATCACAGGCGAGCAGGTGCTGAGTGCGGAGGCCGTTCGGAACACCCTGAGCCTCATGCACTCCTGCGGGATGTACGACTTTTCTGGCCAGTTCGCCTTCCATGTGAGTCATTGAGAAACAGAGGTCAGAGGTCAATGACCTGAGGTGACCTTATCATACTGTATGTGGTCAGATGGAACATTCCCCATTATCTCAGATGTGCCATATTGCTTTCACCTATCCTATGTTGTCAGATCAGTAGTTAAAAGAGAGGAGACAAGTTATTGCTATTATCAGAATTTATTGCTATTGTTTTTGGTTTCTGTTATTGTTTATTTGTTTGTTTTTTGTTTTGTACCGTCTTGGTGTGATGCCTTGGTGGGGTGGGGTGGGAGGGAGGGATGGGTGGGTGCTGTGGGGGTGGGTTGATTAAGGACTGGGGATGTTGTATTGTTTTCAATGTCTCTATGTTCCCAACTGAAAATCCACAAATAAGTTTATTTTTATTTTTTTAAAGATAGGAGACAAGGAGAGGAATCTGTTTTAGACTATTTGAGATGCACCCGGCTATAAGTGTCATTCCACCTGTTCTTTTTTCCAGGTGGGTTTACCTGCTAAGTCTGGCGTTTCTGGTGCAGTACTGCTGGTGGTCCCTAACGTCATGGGAATAATGTGTTGGTCTCCTCCGTTAGACCGTGTCGGAAATAGTGTCCGAGGCATTCACTTCTGTCAGGTACACAGACAAGAAGAATTTCAATCCCCTATGACTTATGTTTTTGTCATACCCAGCAGTCGATATTTATTCTCACTGATGGCCTTGTTTTTTGACATATCGAAAGTAATTTTAATGTCATACCTGAGTGTGTACTTTGTAACTGTATGATATTGTAAAATTGGAAGATTCAAACAGAGTAGAACATTGAATAGTACAGTAATCCATAATTTTCCTGTGTGAATTTCCCCATTCTATCTGCTGATTGATCAGGAACTGGTTTCTCTCTTTAACTTCCATAACTATGACAACATGAGACACTTTGTAAGGAAGCTGGACCCTCGCAGACAATCACTTGATGATAGGGTAAGTAAGGGATAGAGTATGCACTAAATACTTATTTTAATTTTTTCTTAGTTGAACATTTTAAACTCTCTGGAAAATTCATGTTTTCTGTTCATGTCTCCTTTACAACACCTGAAACACCTTCTTCTGCCCCCTTCAGAACAAGTCAGTGGTGAAACTGATGTTTGCAGCTTACAGTGGAGATGTCTCTGCCCTGAGGAGGTAAAGACTGAATCCTGGGAGCCTAGACTAGTTATATAAATCCAATCCATTATAATCGGTCCTAATGACTTACAAGAAATTATAGTTTGCCTTTTCATAAACAAGCGCTGGGCGCCAGACAGACAAGAAAAAACGTGTTAAATGATTTCCATAATATGTTTACATTTATGTTCTGCATGGAACAGACAACCCCTCGTATCAAATCAATTTCAGTTAACTTCAATATAATTACTATAGAGCTTTTCACAAAGTCATTTGTCTCAAATCCCTTATCTCTTAGTCTTGGCCATCTGTCACTCCAATTAACCTTTTAGTATACTTTGATTTTCTTCCTTTTCTTGCTCCTGTCTTCCCCTAGGTTTGCTCTCTCGGCTGTGGACATGGAAAAGAAAGACTATGATTCTCGTACAGCCCTCCACGTAGCGTCAGCTGAAGGTGACTCTATAATTTGTTATGATAAGACTGTACTCTCACATAACGTGTACTTCACCTTATTGTTCACATTTGTAATTCAAGTGTGGCTGACATGGTTTAATTGGAGTGGATGGCTTCGCTGTGAGGACTATAGATATATGAATGCATCACTGGTTGGTTGCACAAACTCATTACCGTATGTTGAAGTTGAATTCGCCCTTCCTGTTTATTCAGGTCATGTGGAAGCGGTGATCTTCCTAACAGAGACGTGCAAAGTGAACCCCCATATAAAGGACAGGTAGGGACACCACTTCGTCCTCTGCCTGACACTTTTAATAACTCACACATCTCTGAGAAGAGACTGGTGGTTTTTAAAGTGTCCAGGTCTTTAAAATCACCCTACTACACCAGACTAGTTAAGGGCTAGAATGATATCTTCAACTGAGACTCATTTGACACTCTAGATCCAAACTGTTACAGACCTATATCCATCCTGCCCTGCCTTTCGAAAGTTTTTGATAGCCAAGTTAACAAACAGATCACCGACCATTTTGAATCCCACCGTACCTTCTCCGCTATGCAATCCAGTTTCCGAGCTGGTCATGGGTGCACCTCAGCCACGCTCAAGGTCCTAAATGATATTATAACCGCGATCGATAATAGACAGTACTGTGCAGCCGTCTTCATCGACCTGGCCAAGGCTTTCGACTCTGTCAACCACTGCATTCTTATTGGCAGACTAAATAGCCTTGGTTTCTCAAATGACTGCCTCGCCTGGTTCACCAACTACTTCTCAGATAGAGTTCAATGTGTCAAATCTGAGGGCCTGTTGTCTGGACCTATGGCAGTCTCTATGGGGGTGCCACAGGGTTCAATTCTTGGGCCAACTCTTTTCTCTGTGTATATCAATGATGTCGCTCTTGCTGCTGGTGACTCTCAGATCCTCCTCTAAGCAGACGACACCATTTTGTATACATCTGGCCTTTCATTGGACACTGTGTTAACAAACCTCCAAACGAGCTTCAATGCCATACAACACTTCTTCCGTAGCCTCCAACTGCTCTTAAACACTAGTAAAACTAAATGCATGCTCTTCAATCGAACGCTGCTGGCACCCGCCCACTCGACTAGAATCACTACTCTAGGCGGCTCTGACTTAGAATATGTGGACAACTACAAATACCTAGGTGTCTGGTTAGACTGTAAACTCTCCTTCCAGATTCACATTAAGCATCTCCAATCCAAAGTGAAATCTAGAATTGGCTTCCTATTTCGAAACAAAGCCTCCTTCACTCATGCTGCCAAACATGCCCTCGTAAAACGGACTATCCTACCGATCCTTGACTTCGGCGATGTCATTTACAAAATAGCCTCCAACACTCTACTCAGCAAATTGGATGTAGTCTATCACAGTGCCATCCGTTTTGTCACCAAAGCCCCATATACTACCCACCACTGTGACCTGTACGCTCTTGTTGGCTGGTCCTCACTACATATTCGTCGCCAAACCCACTGGCTCCAGGCCATCTATAAATCACTGCTAGGCAAATCTCCGCCTTATCTTAGCTCATTGGTCACCATAGCAACACCCACCCGTAGTATGCGCTCCAGCAGGTATATCTCACTGGTCATCCCCAAAGCCAACACCTCCTTTGGCCGCCATTCTTTCCAGTTCTCTGCTGCCAATGACTGGAACAAACTGCAAAAATCTCTGAAGCTGGAGACTCTTATCTCCCTCACTAACTTTAAGTATCAGTTGTCAGAGCACCTTACCGATCACTGCACCTGTACACAGCCCTTCTGAAATTAGCCCACTCAACTACCTCATCCCCATATTGTTATTTATTTTGCTCATTTGCACCCCAGTATCTCTATTTGCACATCATCTCTTGCACATCTATCATTCCAGTGTTAATACTAATTGTAATTATTTTGCACTATGGCCTATTTCTTGCCTTACCTCCATAACTTGCTACATTTGCACACACTGTATATTTATTTTCTGTGGTATTTTTGACTTTATGTTTTGTTTTACCCCATATGTAACTCTGTGTTGTTGTTTTTATCGCACTGCTTTGCTTTATCTTGGCCAGGTCACAGTTGTAAATGAGAACTTGTTCTCAACTGGCTTACCTGGTTAAATAAAGGTTAAATAAAATAAACAAATAAATGTGTCACTTGTTTCCCTTTGCCTTGCACCACATTTGCCTCTGTAGCTGTAAGCCCATTTCAAAGCTTTTTCCTGAACGCTCATATCTCTCTCTGTGTTATCAGGTGGGGAAACACACCCCTGGATGATGCCAGGCAGTTTGGTCGGGACGGGGTGGTGTCAGTCTTGACGGAGTACCAGCGGATGTACCCATGCAGTAGTGAGTCCCAGTCCGAAACAGAAGACCAGAGAAAGTTAGACACATTGAAGGTGGTGGTTTAAGCCAGACAGAATGGATGTGTCTAACAATATTTAATACAAGAGGCATTGGCTGTTTCATTCCAGGAAATTGTCGCCTTCCCCTATACCCTATATTACTCCCCTTAACAGATCTATAGGACTGGATAGGCCCAAGCAATATGGCGGAAAGCAAGAAGAGCTATAAGAAACACCTTCTCAGGTAGACAGGTGACAACGTTTTGGAATTAAATGCAGCCATTTCGTGCCATTAGTGAAGAGGTGTAAGTGAGTATATTTGATATGGTCCCACGTCACTGTGTATAAAGGTTGGGGTTCGCCACATCATATCGCACTCCGCTGTGAGAGATTGTGCTGTCCCAAGCACACTTTCTTTGGCCATGTTGCTGCACATAAAACTTCTGGAGTCTTCAGGAGTGGACAGAATCAATGTAGCACTGTTTCAAGTTGACATGGCACCAACAAGTGATCAGTTGCAAGTTCAGGTGAACTTGGCAGTTATTTGTTTGTAAGTACACACACACTTTGTCCTTACTCGTCACTTAAAAATGCCAGTCTGATGCACATTTTATGTATATATGCTGCCTGTATGTGACCAGTGTTTGTAATGTATTTATACAATGTTTTGTGATGTGTTTAATTATGTATGACGCTACATTAGTATTTTGTTAGTAGATTTTATGCCACTATACATATAACTGCATTATGCACACAGCATTGTAACGTTACATATTGGCAGGTTATAAATATACTGTACAAATCTAGAAATATATTAAGTAGGAAAGTATATATTAATCTACCTCAATAGGAAGTACACCAGTATCATAAGCAGGTCAGAAGACAGGAGTGAACTATGAGGAACCTATGAGCCATGGATCATGAGGATGAGGTATTTGACAATCATTTTTCTTCTAGTCTTTTCTCCTCTTTGGTGTGAATACTTATAACACGGATTGGCCCAACATAAGAGAAACACAACTTTTATGTAACTATAGAAACGGCATGTCTAAATGGGATCGTTTGAGTGACTGAGACTGATGAATATTCATGTATGACAGTGTCCCATCAGCATTTCCTTTTATATGTACATGAATCTATTGATTCAGATGAATGTTGTTTTGATATGTTATAGAACCAAAGACACACACATCCAGGGTTTTCTTACTGTGATTAAGTGATGTTGTGCTACAGACTGCTTCCTCAGGTTAAACTGTCAATGTAAGCTTGCTGCTGTAAATAAATGAGTTAAAATGTATAACGGTTTTTATTTCAGCATACAATCTCAGCACACAATTGGATTATATCAAAAGGCTCAAAAAGGTATGGTTTTGCTTTAATTCAAGTTTGACAACATAATGGAGGAAGTCCAAACATTAAGCAATAGTAATAACAGTAACATTCCCAGTACCTAATGATCTCTTGTTACACACAGGATGGCTACATATTGTTGGCATTTATTTCACATTAAAAAAAGATAACACGAGGTAACAAAAACACAGCTTATTCTGCTGAGTCTGTATGGCAATGAAATGACACATTGGACCAACTCCCTGCTTCCCCAATTGAAAATAAACTTCAGCTCTACATTCGGATGGAGAATACTGCTCTTCATGGGAGATTTGAAAGACATGTACAAGTGCTGCCTGCTGGAAGTCTTCAGTTTACAAAAACCAAGTTAGCAGAGTTAATGCACATCACGCTCCTGGCCCCCTCTCTCCTTGCCATATTGTCATCAGTCCAGAGATCTTTCTGCTTCACTTTAAGCCTTCAGGCTCCTTCAGACCTGAGTGTGTAAGCAGCTCTCCATCCCACAAGCCAAACGCTGGGCAGAGAGGCCCCCTGAACGTGGCCCTCATGCTGTGGATCACCTTGGCCTTCGGGATATCCACCAGGCCTATAAGGCCGGCCTCATAGTCTAACAGAATGCCCACGCGATCAGGCTTACCCACCAGAGGCACCGGCACCCTCTGGTTGGTTGTCATAGCAAACCACTTGCGCTGGACATAGCCGAACACCCAGGAGGCGCGGTTGGTGCCTACGCAGTCGTCCCGTGACATCGCCGCCTCAGCCACGCCTAAACGGAACTCTGAAGACTTCTTCACTGTCACCTCCCAGTAGTGGCGGCCGCCTGTGATTCGCCCGTCTCCGAACACCACGGCCCAATCACGGAAGCGCTCAGGGTTTTGTTGGACATGGCTGGGGTCTATGCCCAGGATGCGATAGATGACACCTGTGTCCTTCTTAAAGAGGTCCAGACTGCTGTGGGCTGTCCTGTCGTCCAGTTTAAACTGCAGGTCTATTGAGAGAAGCAGATTTGAGAGCAAACATTATTAATAGATACTGGCAACTGCAGAATGTTCTCTAGAGAACAAATACATATGCATGGTGGATGTGGAGACATACATGACATAAGACATTTTCAAACATTGTGATTTACTAGCAAACCGATTTAAGCTAAGCAGTGTAGCTGTTGACCCTAGTAGCTTTAAGCTACTAGGGTCAACAGCTACACTGATTTAAGTATGACTATAAGGTAAGAAAGCTGAAATGCAGTTTACTAGTCCTTCCAAACACGATGTAACCAAACTTTTCAAAGCTTCTAAATTCTGTAAAGTTGGTGAAATGTCAGATTTCAAAACGAAAGTAAATTTACGCATGGAAACGTGCAAAAATAGGCCTACACGTTAAGATTTACAACAATCAGGTGGTCGCGAGCGCGGTCAGAATTGTTATTATGTAATGTCCCCTGCTCTGACCTCTAGTTTGCTATGAGCTGAAACTAAGCTCGCTCAGTGTCCACTCTCAGTTGATGTTTCTACTCACTATTGCCCGCCGTTTCGGTAATATACGATCTTGTCGCTGGAAGAAGTGTTCCACGCGTTTGTCTGCGGGACACTGCGCCCACAACTCGTCCTGCCAAGCGACAATAATGTCCCATGCCAAGGGGCATCGCCATCTTTACTCTCCCAACAAAGCTATTTCCTTCTTGGTAAATCTTCAAACTATGATTATTGCTAAATGGCGCCATCTACGGTACCGGAGACTGCATTGAACATATGATACTGGATTACATTTACCATTGAAACCTGGTTAGGCGCTGTCCATGGTGCTGATTTGACTGTTGAAGGAACGCTCAACAGGTGGGCTCTGTCATGTGGTAGGCCTACACTTAGTTTTTTAGATTATAGAGTACCGCACTATGAGTCATAATACCCATAAAACCTAACGGTCAAACAGGGAAATGGTTCCAATCGTTTTTCCACCATTCATTTTTCCCAAAGGGGATTTTAGAAACACTTAAAATAAGGACTGTGTTTCATGTAGGCTTACCCTGGCGTGACGTTTTGATAACCGTGTAAATCTCTGTAGGACAAGGTGATGTTTATCAATATATTCGCCTGTATTTACCCCCCAAAAATTAAATGATAATTAGCTGCTAACGTGGCTATCATAAAAAAATACAAATGCCATGATGATCTGGACGAGACTGCCGAATCGAGGCAAAGGAAAGAATCTCTTGATTAACTATCTAATGTTAGCTACATACAATACCCCATAATGACATAGTGAAAACATGTTTTTAGAAATATTTGCACATTTCTTGAAAATGAAATACAGAAATATCTAATTTACGTGAGTATTCACACCCCTAAGTCAATACATGTTAGAATCACCTTTGGCAGCAATTACAGCTGTGAGTCTTTCTGGGTAAGTCGCTAAGATCTTTGCACACCTGCATTGTACAGTATTTTCACATTATTATTTTTAAATTCTTCAAGCTTTATCAAGTTGGTTGATGATCATTGCTAGACAGCCATTTTCAAGTCTTGCCATAGATCTTCAAGTCGATTTAAGTCGAAACTGTAACTAGGCCACTCAGGAACATTCAATGTCGTCTTGGTAAGCAACTTCAGCCTATATTTGGCCTTGTGTTTTAGGTTATTGTCCTGCTGAAAGGTTAATTTTTATCCCAGTGTCTGTTGGAAAGCAGACTGAACCAGGTTTTCCTCTAGGATTTTGCCTGTGCTTAGCTCTATTTCGTTTATTTTTATCATTAAAAAAACTCCCTAGTCCTTGCCGATGACAAGCATCCCCATAACATGACGCAGCCACCACCATACTTGAAAATATGATGAGTGGTACTCAGTGATGTATTGTGTTGGATTTATCCCAAACATAACGCTTTGTGTTCAGGACATAAAGTGAATTTCTTTGCCCATTTTTTTGCAGTTGTACTTTAGTGCCTTATTGCAATGTCACGACTTCCGCCGAGGCTGCCTCCCCTCCTTGTTCGGGCAGGTTTCGGCGTTCATCGTCACCGGCTTACTAGCCACTGACGCTCCATATTTCATCATTCCATTTGTCTTGTCTTGTCAATTACACACACCTGGTTCATATCCCCTCATTATTCTGTGTATAAGTGTTCCCTCTGCCCCCTTGTCCTTGTTTTATGTGAAGATGAGTGTAGCTCGGTTGAGCTACCCGTACTATGTATTGCCGGGGATATTTCTCCCTGTGTGCCTGTATTGTGTTCCAGTGCGCCTGTATTACGCCCTGTGCTGTTGACGCTATCCAGCGTAACTGTGTCCTATGGAATAAACTCTGTATTCAGTGATTTATCCTCCTGCGCCTGACTCCTTCAAATCACCCTCTCACATGCAAACAGAATGCATGTTTTGGAATATTTTTAGTTTGTACAGGCTTCCTTCTTTTCACTCGGTCACTTAGATTGGTATTGTGGAGTAACTACAATGTTGTTGATCTATCCTCAGTTTTCTCCTATCACAGCCATTAAACTCTGTAACTGTTTTAAAGTTACCATTGGCCTCATGGTGAAATCCCTGAGCTGTTTCCTTCCTCTCTGGCAACTGAGTTAGGAAGGATGCCTGTATCTTTGTAGTGACTGGGTGTATTGATACACCATCCAAAGTGTCATTAATAACTTCACCATGCTAAAAGGGATATTCAATGTCTTCTTTTTTTTTACCCATCTACCAATAGGTGCCGTTCTTTGCGAGGCATTGGAAAACCTCCCTGGTCTTTGTGGTTGAATCTGTGTTTGAAATGTACTGTTCGACTGAGGGACCTTACAGATAATTGAATGTGTGGGGTACAGAGATGGGGTAGTCATAAAGAAATCATGTTAAACACTATTATTGCACACAGAGTCCATGCAACTTATTATGACTTGTTAAGCAAATGTTTACTGCTGAACTTATTTAGGCTTTCCATAGAAAAGGGGTTGAATAATTATTGACTCAAGACATTTCAGCTTTTCATTTTTAATTACATTTGTAAAAATTTCGAAAAACATAATTCCACTTTGTGTGTAGGCCAGTGACAAAACAATCTAAATGTATTCCATTTTAAATTCAGGCTGTAACACAACAAAATGTTGAATACTTTCTGTAGGCACTGTACCCGTTGGGGGCCTAAATGTGTCTTGGTTTATTGATGAACACGCATACAACACACATACAATGTAGGCCTACAGTTTATCTCTTTAACGCGTATATCGTTAGAGAGAGAGAGATTGAAATCATGATATAGCGGGTGCGTTCTTTTGCGTTCTCCTATCATCTGTTTGCATGATTGGGGAGTTTACTCAGATCACAACTGCATGCCACAGTTCACATCTTTCAGTGTGGCGCAGGACTGGTCCTCTCGCTTGCACTCTGCTCTCACTGCCTCCCTGCGATGGCTAGACAAATATGCATAAAGAAAAAACGCTCACGAGTCACGACCGACCAATGCAACAGCGAAGCCCTCAGTCCCACGGAACATCTCCTCCGACCTCTCCCCTGCGGATAGAACCGCGGTTCTGCCAACAGACAGACACAAAGGAACGACGGATATGAACTAGTCTTCAACAGGGCGCTGAAGCTGGACAGTCAACACGGACGAGCCCTGTTTCACTCACTCCTCTTCATGCCTTGCGTTTCTCCTTTCTTTCAGTCAACAATTAATCTGCGACCAACGCTCTATGACCGAACGTGTTCCATATTTTTCACAGCTGTAATTGCCTGACACGTTTTTCAGAACGGCTACCTGGACTTGACAAGACGGCAGAGAAGCAGTGTCTCCGAACACTGTTCAATGATCGGGACTTTTCTTGCGGAAAAGAGGAGCATCTTGGTGACTCATAGGCTACTCTTGAATTATTTGCTTTATTTTGACTCTTACTGAGAATTCATGCGCGCCTGCCTTCAATGAAGGGTATCCTGCGTTTTTTGCATCCCGCCTTTTGAATGATGATAACCACGAGACAGAAAAAATCCCGCGCTGGTTTTCCCGCACGTTTGGGCAGTTAGTCTTTAAATAGCTATTACTTGCTAATGACAGGTATATTGGAGATGCCACAGGTGCATGGTATGAATTTTATATGAAACAGATGCTCAGATCACATATTATCAAGTGCACCGAATATGAATGAGTACATAATTCTGTTGTATGTGTTTTTTTATCAGCTTGGATAGATAGTTGAATATGGTTGTGAGGTGAAGTAATTTACCTGCCTTCTGAACTGCAAACAACTTCAATGTCCCTCTGCATTCTGTATAGCTATTGAACCCAGACTGTAGCATAATGGACCTCAAAGTAGAATCTGAAGAAATGGACTGCAAGAAGCCACCCCCCATTGAGGTTTTTGCGCACAACTCAACACTGCACGGAATTTCGCACATCTTCACCTATGAGCGAGTCTGCATCAAGCGCTGTCTATGGGTCGTGTTCTTCCTGGGCTCCTTGACTTTACTACTGTTTGTGTGCGTGGACCGAATACACTTCTACCTGGAGTATCCGCACGTCACCAAACTGGACGAGATCTCGACCCCGACGATGGTGTTCCCCGCTGTCACGTTCTGCAACCTAAACTTCTTCCGCTTCAGTCGCGTGACGCGCAATGACCTGTACCACGCAGGGGAGCTTCTCGCGCTACTCAACCAGAGGTGCGTTAAACGTGTGACAAAATGTGGATTTGCAGTGGCACTCTAGTCCCTATAAAATGAACTAGGTTACGTTTAGGCTAGAGCCCTGAAATGGTACCTTATGCCCATGTGTCCCTGGACAAAACTATACAGGGAATATGGTGCCATAACAGATGCAGCCAAACATTTGAACCTATAGCCACTAGATCAGAGTGGAATCATCAGTGGGAGTTCATTAGTCATAGTCAGGCAGTAGACCTAGTTCCCTCAAAGGTTTCGGTTCCCCTCAACTAGTAATCACATTCAGACTGATTCGCTATGTGTACTGAAGAAGACGATATGCAGTGTAGAGAGATGTGTGTGACATGACCTCCTGTGCAGAGCACATAGCACAGGTGTCACCAGTTTGGTGTAAGACATGTACGTTCAATTCAACATTGCTGTACTACAGGCCTATATTGTTAGCTTATTGATTTACAGATCCTCTCTGTGAGACATTCAGCCTTTACAATAGTCATGAAAAGTCAGAGGCAGAACTGAATCAGTCATAAGTAAGAAGAATGGTGAAGGTGGCAAGGTGCCCCATTGTCTGTAACAGTGTTGTGCCTCACATCCTCAGGAAGCACTTTGTCACTCAGATGCTTTGATTTCCTTACTGGTGGTGAATCATGCCAGCCCTGCTTAGAGAGAAAGACCCGATTTGTCTGCCTTGGATGGATGAGCCGAGAGGGCTTTAATGTCACAAACCCCAGAGAAGAGCAGCAGCAACTCTGAGAGGCCGGTATTACCGCCGTGCCTCGCTCACTGGCCACAGCACAGCTCCATGCCATCTCCAAGTTGGAGTAATGTGTGGGGCTTAAGACGCTGGAGACTGCCTTTGCTTGCTCTGATTAACATGAGCCAAAATGAAGCCATATTTGAAAGAATGCATTTTGTAGACTCTCCAGACCACACTCCACAGTCTTTACTAGATATTGTAATTTTAGTCCCTGCATTCCATCAAACCCTTGGGATTCAGTATTACCCAATTCCAAACCTACACTCCAAAAGCTGTCCCCATAGAAACCGTTCTTCATAGAACCCAAAGGGTTCTACCTGGAACCAAAAATGATTATTCAAAGGGTTCTCATATGGGGATAGCTGAATAACCCTTTTAGGTTCTAGATATAACCTTTTTTTCTAAGAGTGGAGGGTTCCTTGTTGATTCTACCAGGAATGACAGATAAGGTATAGTTATCTTAAATACAAATGGTTTATATTTTACACACTGTACAGTGTGCAACTAGACATTGGCTTTCTAAGAGTGGAAGGAGGGAGTGGAGGAGGGGTATCATATTTCCATACAGACAGAGTTAGACTAATACCAGCCTGAGACTGTGTGACTGTGGTCCTCTGTAGCTCAATTGGTAGAGCATGGCGCTTGTAATGCCAGGGTAGTGGGTTCGATCCCTGGGACCACCCATACGTAAAAATGTATGCACACATGACTGTAAGTCGCTTTGGATAAAAGTGTCTGCTAAATGGCATATTATATTATATTATATAAACACACTACTATCCCCATGGTGTTTTGATTTGATAAGGATTCCCATTAGCCAATGCCAATGGCGACAGCTAGTCTAACTGGGGTCCGACACATAATGAAAGAGACATTACAGACAAAAATACATTACAATTTACATAAAAAAACATGAACATGTAGACATTACAGACTTTTAAAAAGAACGACAACTAAAGACACACACATTTAAATAAGAACAATACAACTAAATAATAATAATGTGTGGGTGTGTGTAGAATGTGTATGGTGTCAGTATTGTCTTGCAAATGTCAGTGCTGATGGCTGATGAGACAATCACAGCAGCCCTGTCTGACTCTCCATCCCTTCCTGTTTGATTGTGTTGCTGCCCGCCGGACTCTGCAGCAACAGCTGATGCATTTTATCAACACACACACAACATCTCAGGTGGAGATACATGAAAGACACAAGTGGTGACAGGAAGAGGAAGGACTGTCACTGGACGGAGAGAAAATACAGCAGAGAGACCGAGAAAGCGTGAGGGAGTGGAGGGAAGAGATAGAATGAGGGAGAAGATGAAAGATGGCTGCGAAAGTGGGAGAGAAACACAAGAACTGACAGAATCAGGGATATAAAGGAGGAAATCAAAAATAATATGTTGTTTTAGGGCCCAGCAGGCACCAGTGGGTTTGGTGGTCTGGTTTTCATTCAGTGGGAAACGTCCCCGTTTCATCATTTATGACAATTCCACACTGTCACTAGAATTAGCATTTAAGTCACGGTGGTATGACTGATGAATGTTTTGTACAATGTACCATCTGGTATACGTTTCTGCTTCTTGATAGAAAGTCAATCTTTGTGAATTAAGCTTTATGAATGAATACATCTCCTTATCCTCGCTCTCAGGGGAAGAAATGTGTCACATTATCAACAGGGAGCATTTCCATGTAATATCATATGACAGCAGACCCAGTATCTGTTTGAAATGGCAGACCAACATTATATAAGCATGTGGGCACTTGGTCTGAGGCAACATTTATATTGTTATGTTAAACCCATAGTCTTCAGAAAAGAAAACGCTTGAGAGATTAGATAAAAATGCAAGCTTTTCAATTCCCAAGAGGAAGAATTTAAGAATTGTCTACTTTGTCTATTCAGGGAGTCAATGAGAATGGCTGCTTAGCAGAGAGGGAAATATCAGGTTTTCTTCCCCACTTCCCCAACTTTAAAACCACTTGACTTATTTGGCGAATTTGAGTCTGTGCTTATTCACTTATCCCATCTCCCAAGGTAGAGAGGCGATGTGGTTATTCCCTCATTTGTTAAGCCCTCATCCAGAAATGAAATGCTGGTGGTGTGAAATCCAATTAAGCGTCTCTCTCTCTCTCTCTCTCCCTCCGCCACCTCCAGTGTTTGCTATGGCTGGTCTGGGGAAATGTCTCGTGGCGTGATATTAAAACTCCATCCATACTGGGGAAAAAGTGTCAGCTCGGGCTGATTCTGTCAGGCTTGTGTGCGTTTGGGATTTGTATCTTATAAGTACACACTTGACAGCTTTATCCACTGCAACAACATTGGGGAGTAAAGGCCTCAACTCAATTAAGTCCTCCTTTAATCAATGGAAGGCTCTGCCTGAGATGGCACTTAGCAACAGCCAGAGAAAACTTCTAAATTGGATCAGATTGGTACCTTCCGAGGTACTGGGCCATACTCTCACCTCATCGGCATAATGAACCTAATATGAGAGGTGGAATAGTAGGTGAGTAAATCAATGTTTAATAGCTTTTAGTTTGATGAGTCTGGCTTTCTATTAAACTTAGTTTGACGCAGGTGATTTGATGGCCCCATAACCTCTAGTGTTTCTACATAGATTGGCCACAGACTTTAAAGCAACACACTTATTTTATGAGAATTGTTGTGTGCCCGTTCACACTCTGCCAATACCAATTGTTCCAGATCACACATCTGATTAAAAGCCCCTTTTTATGAGTCAAACCTATATAAAAAAAAAACGAAATCATGCTCATTCCTTTAAAGCCCTATAAAGTTTTGGTTAATGATAGAACAACATGACATCACCAAGTCAATATGGAGCATGCCAGTGGACATTATGCTGCTATTTATTCATGCTGGGCAGCAGGCAGACATCTATTACAAGAAGATCTCCCACTGATTATGGTGTGTGCAGTGAGTGGGTTGACTCTCCTTTCCCACTCTGTGACTCGCGCGCAATTATTATTGTGTAGATGGAATGAGAACATACACACATGAAAAAAAATAGACGTGTGAGGGCACTAGGTACACATGCTTTATAGATTGGTGGACACACATGTACACAGACATGTATTAAAAGTGAGTTGTTGCTTATACGTTTTATAAGTGGGCGTTGTGTGTGAGAGAGCTTTTGATCAAGGGTGGTATTCTTAAAAGCTCACGTCTGCCCAACCTGATTGTCATGCTTTCAAACATGTATTTTTTTTAGTGGGAAGAGGAATAGCAGGAGGAAGGGCATCAATCTACCTCTTTTTGAGTATGTTGAAAAATTTAGTTTGTGACTAGACTAATAAAAACAACTATTTTGGTCTCTCTCTCTCTCTCTCCCTCCTCCTCTCTCTCTCTCTCTCTCTCTCCCTCTCTCTCTCCCTCTCTCTCATCTCTCTCCGTCTCTCTCTCTCTCCTCGTCCTCTCTCTCTCTCTCCATCTCATCCGCCCGTCCTCTCATCTCTCCTCTCTCCTCTCGCGTCCTCCTCTCTCTCACTCTCTCTCTCTCTCGCTCTCTCTCTCTCTCTCCTCTCTCTCTCTCCCTCTCTCTCCCTGCTCTCTCTCTGCTCTCTCTCTCTCTCTAGGTATGAGATTAGGGACACCCACCTGGTGGAGGACAGTGTTCTGGAGGCCCTGAAGGTCAAAGCTGACTTCCAAAATTTCAAGCCTCGCCCATTCAACATGCGCGAATTCTATGACCGGACGGGACATGATATCAAGGACATGTTGCTGGCATGTCACTTCCGGGGGGCCGAGTGCAGAGCCGAGGACTTCCAAGTGGTAAGTTACCTGAGGGCCTTGAATCAACTTTCAAGACAATAGTTGTATTTATGTACCAAAGAGAAATAAAACAACAGCTGCTACTGCTGTTGCGCTCAAAAATGGTATGATACAGTATGTGCATCTCTGCTCTGCCTCCTGAGTCTGTTCGTAGTACATCTGACTGCACCTCAAAGTCAAAATTGACCTATTTCACGATGAATTTATCTTCATATTTAATTTTAGGCTGTAATGAGTGTGGTGGCCCTACTGTGCCCCACTGTGGGACTCAACCAGGCGCTCTTTTGATAACCCGCCATGCACACAGCTGCTGTTTGAGAGTGCTGGCAAAAAACATCATCCCCTTTCGTAATGTGTTTGTTAATTTATTCAAACACTGTTTGTAGTGTAATCCCTCAAACTCAGGTTAGGAGCTAGTCTTTCATTATTTGGGATTTTTCCCATCAAAACAAGAGAGCGGCTGGCACGGCATGCTGTGTGGAGCTATCCTCAGAGACTTGGTGTTCAAAGCTGCATGTGGGAAGTAGATGTGGAATATGTGGTAGAGAGGGGATGAAAGATTCATGTTTAAGGGAGACTGTGGGATACTGTATGTAATGTACAGCATATGTGGGTGGCACAGTAAACGTTTGTTTTGTAATTACTGCAGCATATCATTTGTTTAACACTTGATAACACTTGATTTAGCCTACATCATCATCAATATTTGATCTGGTTGGCTGATAAACGCAGCGAGGCAGAAAGAAAGAGAGGTAAATCACAATCAGTAAAATAAATCAAGCTAGCTAACTAGCAGATTTAAATCAATCATCAACAATCAGCTGATAGCCCACCCTCTTTTCCCGAAGTGTTCGTGTTAAAAAGCCTCATAGCATAAGGTAAGAAGGATCTGCGGAAACGTTCTGTTTTGGCCCTAGGTAAAATAAATCTGTCTGCCATCGCACTGCAATGCTCCAGGCAGGTACTGTGGAGTGGGTGGCTAGTGTTGGCTTCTATACTCTAAGCTTTTTGAGGATCCGCTTAACCAGCATGGGCTCTAGTTTGTCCTGGTTGGTGCCGATGGTAGAACCAGCCTTCTTGATGATT